GTGAGTCTATGGCTCTCTGTGTGAGTGAGTCTATGGCTCTCTGTGTGAGTGAGTCTATGGGTCTCTGTGTGAGTGAGTCTATGGGTCTCTGTGTGAGTGAGTCTATGGGTCTCTGTGTGAGTGAGTCTGTGGGTCTCTGTGTGAGTGAGTCTATGGGTCTCTGTGTGAGTGAGTCTGTGGGTCTCTGTGTGAGTGAGTCTGTGGGTCTCTGTGTGAGTGAGTCTATGGGTCTCTGTGTGAGTGAGTCTATGGGACTCTGTGTGAGTGAGTCTATGGGACTCTGTGTGAGTGAGTCTATGGCTCTCTGTGTGAGTGAGTCTGTGGGTCTCTGTGTGAGTGAGTCTATGGGTCTCTGTGTGAGTGAGTCTGTGGGTCTCTGTGTGAGTGAGTCTATGGGTCTCTGTGTGAGTGAGTCTATGGGACTCTGTGTGAGTGAGTCTATGGGACTCTGTGTGAGTGAGTCTATGGCTCTCTGTGTGAGTGAGTCTGTGGGTCTCTGTGTGAGTGAGTCTATGGGTCTCTGTGTGAGTGAGTCTATGAGTCTCTGTGTGAGTGAGTCTTTGGGTCTCTGTGTGAGTGAGTCTATAGGTCTCTGTGAGTGAGTCTGTGGGTCTCTGTGTGAGTGATTCTATAGGTCTCTGTGAGTGAGTCTATGGGTCTCTGTGTGAGTGAGTCTATGGCTCTCTGTGTGAGTGAGTCTATGGCTCTCTGTGTGAGTGAGTCTATGGGTCTCTGTGTGAGTGAGTCTATGGGTCTCTGTGTGAGTGAGTCTATGGGTCTCTGTGTGAGTGAGTCTATGGCTCTCTGTGTGAGTGAGTCTATGGCTCTCTGTGTGAGTGAGTCTATGGCTCTCTGTGTGAGTGAGTCTATGGGTCTCTGTGTGAGTGAGTCTATGTCTCTCTGTGTGAGTGAGTCTATGGGTCTCTGTGTGAGTGAGTCTATGGCTCTCTGTGTGAGTGAGTCTATGGGTCTCTGTGTGAGTGAGTCTATGGGTGTCTGTGTGAGTGAGTCTATGGCTCTCTGAGTGAGTCTATGGGTCTCTGTGTGAGTGAGTCTATGGGTCTCTGTGTGAGTGAGTCTATGGGTCTCTGTGTGAGTGAGTCTATGGCTCTCTGTGTGAGTGAGTCTATGGGTCTCTGTGTGAGTGTCTCTGTCTGTGTGAGTGAGTCTATGGGTCTCTGTGTGAGTGAGTCTATGGGTCTCTGTGTGAGTGAGTCTATGGGTCTCTGTGTGAGTGAGTCTATGGGTCTCTGTGTGAGTGTCTCTGTCTGTGTGAGTGAGTCTATGGGTCTCTGTGTGAGTGTGTCTATGGGTCTCTGTGTGAGTGAGTCTATGGGTCTCTGTGTGAGTGAGTCTATGGGTCTCTGTGTGAGTGAGTCTATGGGTCTCTGTGTGAGTGAGTCTATGGCTCTCTGTGTGAGTGAGTCTATGGGTCTCTGTGTTAGTGAGTCTATGGGTCTCTGTGTGAGTGAGTCTATGGCTCTCTGTGTTAGTGAGTCTATGGGTCTCTGTGTGAGTGAGTCTATGGGTCTCTGTGTGAGTGAGTCTATGGCTCTCTGTGTTAGTGAGTCTATGGGTCTCTGTGTGAGTGAGTCTATGGGTCTCTGTGTGAGTGAGTCTATGGGTCTCTGTGTGAGTGAGTCTATGGCTCTCTGTGTGAGTGAGTCTATGGGTCTCTGTGTTAGTGAGTCTATGGGTCTCTGTGTGAGTGAGTCTATGGCTCTCTGTGTTAGTGAGTCTATGGGTCTCTGTGTGAGTGAGTCTATGGGTCTCTGTGTGAGTGTGTCTATGGGTCTCTGTGTGAGTGTGTCTATGGGTCTCTGTGTGAGTGAGTCTATGGGTCTCTGTGTGAGTGAGTCTATGGGTCTCTGTGTGAGTGAGTCTATGGGTCTCCTGAATACCCTTCGACCCGGGTTCGATTCCACGCTCACAGCCAACACCACCAGTGACGATTATCCGAACTGGACATGTGCCTCCCCTAGGTCGACTCAGCCTCAAATGTGTACCTGGTGCCATGTGTAAACATCGCCACTGGAGAGACAAAGGCGGTCGGGACTGGTGCTGGTCACCCACCCACCCTTTGTGTGTGCCAAGGCGCCAGTCTTCACAGACGCTTGCTAACAGCACTTGCCCCAACAGCACCTGCTCCCAACAGCACTTGCCCCAACAGCACGTGCCCCTAACAGCACTTGCCCCCAACAGCACTTGCCCCAACAGCACTTGCTCCAACAGCACTTGCCCCAACAGCACTTGCCCTAACAGCACTTGCCCCCAACAGCACTTGCCCCAACAGCACTTGCTCCAACAGCACTTGCCCCAACAGCACTTGCCCCAACAGCACGTGCCCCTAACAGCACTTGCCCCGACAGCACTTGCCCCAATAGCACTTGCCCCCAACAGCACTTGCCCCAACAGCACCTGCCCCCAACAGCACTTGCCCCAACAGCACGTGCCCCTAACAGCACTTGCCCCTAACAGCACTTGCCCTAACAGCACTTGCCCCAACAGCACTTGCCCCGACAGCACCTGCTCCCAACAGCACCTGCCCCCAACAGCACTTGCCCCAACAGCACGTGCCCCTAACAGCACTTGCCCCTAACAGCACTTGCCCCAACAGCACTTGCCCCAACAGCACGTGCCCCTAACAGCACTTGCCCCTAACAGCACTTGCCTCAACAGCACTTGCCCCAACAGCACCTGCCCCCAACAGCACTTGCCCCAACAGCACTTGCCCCCAACAGCACTTGCCACAACAGCACTTGCCCCGACAGCACTTGCCCCAACAGTCTGTTACAGGCTTCCCGGTGGTATCTTTGTCTTTGATTGGTCCCGGGCCATTGTTTATTGTTGTGGTGGTCATTGTTGTTGTTGTTGTTGTGTTGTGCGGTTGTTGTGGTTGTGGTGGCGATTGTGGGAGTTAACGGTTGTGGTTGTGGGGTGGTTGTTGTGGTTGTTATGGTGGTGGTCATTGGGTTTGGTTGTGGTTGTGGTTCCTCTGGTTGTTATGGTTGTGGTGGTTCCTGCGGTTGTTGTTGGCAGCTTGTGCCGGAGGCCCCGGGGGGACAGGCGTCTATGACGTCTCCTGGCCAAACCCCAATTGGCGGAGCCAGGAGATTGAATCTCAAACTTCGGGGCTCCTCCGGAAACAACGAAAAGCCACTACGGGTGGCCACGTGGAATGTTCGAACGCTCACTGCGGAGGAGAGGCTGCCCACTCCTCTGTCGGGAGCTGGACCGGTACCGCCTGGATCTCTGCGGCATTCAGGAGGTCCGGTGGACCGGCTCTGGCTCCTGTCACCATGAGGGGTGGACGGTCCTCTACTCGGGGCAGCAGACTGCCAAACAACAGGGTGTGGCTCTTCTTTTGAACAAAAGAATGAACGGGGAATGGGAGCGTGGCGGTGAGGTGTAGGAAGCTGTAAGTCTCAGGCTACTGTAAACCTACATGGCCGTGAGTCAGAGCCATTCCATGTTCACCTGGGGTGCGACAGGGATGTCCTCTGGCTCCCACGTTATTTAACATCTTATTTGACCACGTAGTTTGCGAAGCCTTCGATGACTGTACCGGAGGAATTTCCATCTGGTGCAGATACAATGGGAGACTGATCGATTCCCGGGTGCGGTCCAGGGATGGCTCCCTATTGGTCAACCATGTCACGTATGCCGATGATCCGGTGATTGCCGCTCAGGAATTGGAGGCACTGCTGCTGAACCTGGAGCTTGCTACTAAGAGGTGGGGCCTTACCATCAGCCCCACCAAAACTAAGCACCTGCCTGGGTATTTTGAGCTATCAGACACTCCACCCCCACAAATCCCAATCGGTGATGGGGCAGTTGGGGAGAGAGTGGAGAGTTTCCCATACCTGGGCAGTGTGCTTATGACCGGCTCCGGTTTGACAGCAGAGGTCTCACTCCGAATCAGTCGAGCGGCAATATCTTTTCATCGGTTGCGTAACGCTGTGTGGAAGCTACCTGGTCTGTCGCTCCGCACGAAGCTTCGGGTATTCTCGGCCACGGTCATTCCCTCCCTTTCGCTACGCTTGCGAAACGTGGACCCCCCTAATGGAACATCTTCGCCGGTTAGAAACATTTAGGCTGATCCACCCACAGGCTGGATTGTGTGAGGAGCTCACAAATCCTTGAAAGATCTGGACAAAGTCCCATCGGTGAGCTCCTCCGGCAGGCAAGGCTGCGTTGGCTGGGTCATGTAGCCCGCATGCCCAGCCACCGCATGCCGAAACAGCTTTTGTTCGGCCGGATGTAGAAGGCTAAATGGGTGCGGCACGGGCTAGAGAAGAGATGGAGTGATGTGGTACAGGAGGACGTGGAGCTGAGTGGACTTGCCGATGACCGGTACCAGCGGTGTCAAGATCGGCCTCTGTGGAGGAGGCTCGTGAAGGACGCCGCTACTGGGCAGTTGGAGGCAGTCGCCCTCCAACAACAACGGAGGGCGGAGGAGCGACGCTCACAACAACGAGCGGAGCGCCGGGTGGCTAAAGCACAGCAGGTTGTTGGGTTTTAGTAAGGGGCATCTCAGTCAGTCGACTCGTATCACCTGGGTCTGTCCCGTGACTTCCTGCCAGCGGGCGTTTGACACTCCAAGTGGCCTCAACGTGCACCTGGCCTGGCACAAGCGCCGTGGTGACGTCACGCCACTATGTGACAAATGGCGGTTGTTGTTGTTGTGGTGGTTGTTATTGTGGTATGTTGTGGTTATTGTGGTGGTTATCGTGGTTGTTGTGGTTATTGTGGTTGTTGTGGTTATTCTGGTGGTTATCGTGGTTGTGGTGGTTGTTGTGGTTATTGTGGTTGTTGTGGTTATTGTGGTGGTTATTGTGGTTGTGGTGGATGTTGTGGTTATTGTGGTTGTTGTGGTGGTTATTGTGGTGGTTATTGTGGTTGTTGTGGTTGTTGTGGTTGTTGTGGTGGTGGTTGTTGTTGTTATATTAATCTATTCACCCCCCCCCACCCACCCACCCCCCCCACCCTCCGACCCTCAGGCCGCGAGCTCCAATCGGTGACGAGCGCGGGGGCGGTGACAACAAAAATGGCCGCCGCCTCGCAGCGGTGACGGCCGCCGGGGGCTGGTGGGTGGGGCTGCGGTCGCCGTGGCGACCACAAACAAAATGGCCGCGGCCGCCCCGCGAAGCGACGGTGGAGGCGGTGGAGGCGGTGGAGGAGGCGGTGGAGGCGGTGGAGGCGGTGGAGGCGGTGGAGGCGGTGGAGGCGGTGGCCAGAGAGGCCTTCAGAGGGCCCTGACGTCGGCCGACATGCCCGTGAGGGGCACCGTCCTGGAGCTGTTGGGGCGGCCGCTACCGGCGGCAGCGGCAGCGGCGGCGGGGACAGGTAACGACGGTGAACGGAGAGAGGTGTAGTGTAGTGTGTAGTGTAGTGTGTAGTGTAGTGTGTAGTGTAGGGTATAGTGTAGTGTGTAGTGTAGTGTGTAGTGTAGGGTATAGTGTAGTGTGTAGTGTAGTGTATAGTGTAGTGTATAGTGTAGTGTGTAGTGTAGTGTGTAGTGTAGGGTATAGTGTAGTGTGTAGTGTAGTGTGTAGTGTAGGGTATAGTGTAGTGTGTAGTGTAGTGTATAGTGTAGTGTGTAGTGTAGTGTGTAGTGTAGGGTATAGTGTAGTGTGTAGTGTAGGGTATAGTGTAGTGTGTAGTGTAGTGTGTAGTGTAGGGTATAGTGTAGTGTGTAGTGTAGTGTATAGTGTAGGGTATAGTGTAGTGTGTAGTGTAGTGTATAGTGTAGTGTGTAGTGTAGTGTGTAGTGTAGTGTATAGTGTAGTGTGTAGTGTAGTGTGTAGTGTAGTGTATAGTGTAGTGTGTAGTGTAGTGTATAGTGTAGTGTGTAGTGTAGTGTATAGTGTAGTGTGTAGTGTAGTGTGTAGTGTAGTGTATAGTGTAGTGTGTAGTGTATAGTGTAGTGTAGTGTATAGTGTAGTGTATAGTGTAGTGTGTAGTGTAGTGTATAGTGTAGTGTGTAGTGTAGTGTGTAGTGTAGTGTGTAGTGTAGTGTATAGTGTAGTGTGTAGTGTAGTGTATAGTGTAGTGTGTAGTGTAGTGTATAGTGTAGTGTATAGTGTAGTGTATAGTGTAGTGTGTAGTGTAGTGTATAGTGTAGTGTGTAGTGTAGTGTGTAGTGTAGTGTGTAGTGTAGTGTATAGTGTAGTGTGTAGTGTAGTGTATAGTGTAGTGTGTAGTGTAGTGTGTAGTGTATAGTGTAGTGTGTAGTGTAGTGTATAGTGTAGTGTGTAGTGTATAGTGTAGTGTAGTGTATAGTGTAGTGTGTAGTGTATAGTGTAGTGTGTAGTGTAGTGTGTAGTGTAGTGTATAGTGTAGTGTGTAGTGTAGTGTATAGTGTAGTGTATAGTGTAGTGTATAGTGTAGTGTATAGTGTAGTGTAGTGTGTAGTGTAGTGTGTAGTGTATAGTGTAGTGTATAGTGTAGTGTATAGTGTAGTGTATAGTGTAGTGTATAGTGTAGTGTAGTGTGTAGTAGTGTAGTGATTAGTAGTGCATAGTGTAGTGTAGTGTGTAGTAGTGTAGTGGTGTAGTGTAGTGTGTAGTAGTGTAGTGTGTAGTAGTGTAGTGTATAGTGTAGTGTATAGTGTAGTGTATAGTGTAGTGGATAGTGTAGTGTATAGTAGTGTAGAGTATAGTAGTGTAGTGTATAGTGTAGTGTGTAGTATAGTGTGTAGTGTAGTGTATAGTGTAGTGTATAGTGTAGTGTATAGTGTAGTGCATAGTGTAGTGTATAGTGTAGTATATATTAGTGTAGTGTGTAGTGTAGTGTATAGTGTGTAGTGTAGTGTATAGTGTACTGTATTGAAGAACAGCTAATGGGACACTTCTCCCCACCCCATCTCTCCTCCCCCCTCCTCCTCCTTTCCACCAACTCCTCCCCCCCCCCCCACCTCCTCCCCCCCCACCACCTCGTCTTCTCACCTCCTCTCTCCCCTCCTCCTCCTCCCTCAGGCCTCAAGCCTTCCTCCACCCCCTCGACGGAGACGAATCCTCCGGGCAAAACCTCCTCCTCCTCCTCCCCCTCCTCCGCCTCCACCGCCTCCACCGCCTCCTCTGCCTCCACCGCCTCCGCTGCCTCCGCCGCCGCCGCGGCTCCCGGCGTGGGCGAGGAGCCGGAGACGCCGGCCCGGCCCGCCGCCTCGGCCGTGAGCCTCGGGCCCGACGAGCTCCACCCCGGGGGCCGCCGCCCACGACTCAAGTCCGTCGCGGGCCTGGCCGCCATGTTCGAGGCTGCCGCTCCTCCACCACCCCGGCAGCAGCAAACGCAGCGACGGGGGGCGGGAGGGGGAGCAGGAGGAGGAGGGGGGGCAGGGGGAGGAGGAGGAGGAGGAGGAGGAGGAGGAGGAGGGGGAGTGGGAGGAGGGGGAGGAGGAGGAGCAGGGGGGGGCGTGCGTGGGAGACGCGGAGGCGACAGCCGTGACCATGATGATGATGACGAGGAGGATGAGGATGAGGAGGAGGAGGGGGAGGGACGAGTCGTCGCCCGACGGTCCGCGGGGCCGCGCCAGAGGCCCCGGTCGATGTTCGCGTCGCTGGACCTGCCGACGGTGACCGCGGCGACGGCCGCGGCGACGACCGCGGTGACCGTGGCGACGACCGCGGTGACCGTGGCGACGACCGCGGTGACCGTGGCGACGGCCGTGGAAGCGGAGGCCTTGCCGGGGAGCCGTCCGCCAGCGGGCCCCGCGGCGAGGGAGACGCAGGTCCACGACGAGATCTGGCGGGGCGGCCTACACGTGCGCAAGTCGTTCCGCTCGGCCGCGGCGGCCGCGGCCGCGGCGGCCGGAGAGAAGGAGCAGGAGAAGAAGGAGGAGAAGAAGGAGGAAAGGAAGGAGAAGGAGGAAAGGAAGGAGAAGAAGGAGAAGAAGAAGGAGGAGCAGGAGGAGGAGGTCTCGACGCCGCCCGGCGTTCCCGGCCTCCGCACCGTGACGGTCATCGAGTGGCAGCCGGTGGCGTCGCTGGCGGCCGGCAACGCCCGGCCGGCGGAGCCGCGGACGAAGAGGCCCGCGGGAGAGGCGGCCGCGGCCGGTGGAGGCGGAGGAGGTGGAGGAGGAGGAGGCGGAGGAGGTGGAGGAGGCGGAGGAGGTGGAGGAGGTGGAGGAGGCGGAGGAGGTGGAGGAGGCAGAGGAGGTGGAGGAGGCGGAGGAGGTGGAGGAGGAGGTGGAGGAGGAGGCGGAGGAGGCGGAGGAGGTGGAGGAGGCGGAGGAGGAGGCGGAGGAGGAGGCGGAGGAGGCGGAGGAGGAGGCGGAGGAGGTGGCGGAGGAGGCGGAGGAGGTGGAGGTGGAGGAGGCGGAGGAGGTGGAGGAGGTGGAGGAGGTGGAGGAGGCGGAGGAGGTGGAGGAGGAGGCGGAGGAGGTGGAGGAGGAGGCGGAGGAGGTGGAGGAGGAGGAGGTGGAGGAGGAGGTGGAGGAGGAGGCGGAGGAGGAGGCGGAGGAGGTGGAGGCAGAGGAGGTGGAGGAGGTGGAGGAGGTGGAGGAGGTGGAGGAGGCGGTGGAGGTGGAGGCGTAGCGATGACGGCGTTCTACCTGCAGGGGAGCAGCCCCGACGGGGAGCGTCCCGCGGGGCCGACGTGGGAGCAGGAGGCCGGGACGGAGGAGGCGGCGGAGGAGGAGGAGGAGGCGGAGGAGCGTGGCGAGGCCCGCCGGCGGAGGCTCCGCGAGGCGAGGGGCGGCCGGGCGGCCGAGCCGTCGAGCTCCCCGGCGGCGGGCGAGGCCTCCGGGAGGGCCCGGGGGTCTCCGTCGTCGTCGTCCTCGTCCTCGTCCTCGTCAAGGTCGTCGTCGTCAAGGTCGGGCGACGACCTGAAGCGGCGGATCCGAGACTACAAACGCTCGGCGGCCGATGAGACGCCGAAGGCCGAGGGCAGCGCGGGGAAGAAGAAGGAGGAGAAGAAGGAGGGGAAGGAGGAGAAGGAGGGGAAGGAGGAGAACAAGGAGGAGAAGAAGGAGGAGGAGAAGGAGGAGGAGAAGGAGGAGAAGAAGGAGGAGAAGAAGGAGCAGAAGAAGGAGGAGAAGAAGGAGGAGGAGAAGGAGGAGGAGGTCAGGAGCAGGAGGCGCCTGCCGCCCACGATTCGCTGGATCAAGCCGCCGGGTTCGGCGTCACCGACCGCGACGTCGCCGCTCCACTCGAGGAGTTTCTACGAGAGGGGGAGGGACGGTGGCGGTGGCGGTGGAGGTGGAGGTGGAGGAGGTGGAGGAGGAGGAGGAGGAGGAGGTGGAGGAGGAGGTGGAGGAGGAGGAGGAGGAGGAGGTGGCGGAGGAGGTGGAGACCTCACCGAACGTTCGACAACGACAAGGAGGAGGAGGTCGCCGGACGGCGACGCCGGCGACAGGCCAGAGGCGAGGCGGCCGCTGGCCGAGCCGGTGGCGGCCATCGCCGAGATCCGGGGCCTCCTCCCGGAGGCCGCCGGCGACGCCGCCGCCGCCGCCGCCGGCTCGGAGCGGCGCCGTCGCTCGCGGCGATCGGCGCCCTCCGAGCCGGCGCCGTCGGTCGCCCCGGAGGCCCGGAGGTCGTCGCCGGGGGCGGGCGGCGGCCTCCGGGCGGTCGGGCGAGCCGGTGGCGGCCGTCGTGGAGATCCGGCCCGCTTCCCACGCTCGCCGGCCCGGCTCGCCGGTGCCGCCGCCGACCTCACCGCCGCCGACGTCGCCGTCCGCCGGAAGCTCGAGGGCCCCGGCGGCGACCGCGGAAGGGGGGCGGCCGCCGAGGTCCTGGCGAGTGACGCCGGCGACGTCCGTGGCGACGCCGCCACCGCCGTCGTCTCCCCCCGCGGCTCCGAGAGTCCGTGGGGGCGCCGCTCCGGACGACCGCTCCGGCGTCTCGCCGATCCGGCCCCCGGCCTACGGCGGCGGCGGCGGCAAATCGGCGGCGGACGAGAGGGGAGCGCCGGCGGACGCCGCCGGGCGGCGGAGGCCGCACGGCGGAGGCCGCCCCGAGGGGCCGGCGGCGTCCGTCTCGGGCCCCGGGCCCGGGGCCTCCGAAGCGGTGGCGGAAGTGGGGAGGCCGCGGAGGTCCTGGCGAGTGACGCCGGGGGGCAACGCGGACAGGACGACGACGACAACGACGACGACGTTGTCGTCGTCGTTGTCGTCGTCAGCGGCCCTGCAGGTCGGGGGGTCGCGGGCGGTGCCGGAGGCCGCCAACACCCCCACCACCACCACCACCTCCACCACCAACAACACCAACAACACCTCCACCAACAACACCCCCACCAACAACACCCCCACCACCTCCGCCAACAACACCAACAACACCAACAACACTCCCACCAACAACACCCCCACCAACAACACCCCCACCACCTCCGCCACCACCGCCACCACCGCCACCAACAACAACACCATCCCGTCGCTGTCTTCGCGAGACTTTGGGAGGACGTCGTGGGGAGGGGGCAGCTCCTTGAAGGACCGGAGGAGGGAGTTGAGCTCCCGAGAGGGGACCTCCTCCTCCTACACCACCTCCACCACCACCTCCTACTCCTCCACCTCCTCTACCTCCTCCACCACCACCTACTCCACCTCCTCCGCCTCTAAGCCAACGCCGCCGCCATCATCACCTCCAGCAGCCTCCCGTCGCGGGGGGGCGAGGGGCGACGAGGCGGTGGAGCTGACGGACGACGACCGCCGTCACCACGACGACCGTCACCACGACGACCGTCACCACGACGACCGTCACCACGACGACCCCCGTCACCACGACGACCGTCACCACGACGACCCCCGTCACCACGACGACCCCTGTCACCACGACGACGACGCCCGGCGGTGGCGCCGCCCGGCGCGCCCTCGGGCGGCCACCTCTCCGGCGCCCGCCACCGCCACCACCGCCTCCACTGCCTCCACCGCCACCACTGCCTCCACCGCCTCCACCGCCTCCACCGCCTCCATCACCACCACCGCCTCCACCGCCTCCACCGCCTCCTCGTCGTCGTCCACCATCGCCACCTCGTCGTGGGCGTCGCCGTCGTCGTCCAGGGTCGCCGTGACTACCGCCGCCGCCGCCGCCTCGTCGTCGTCAAGGGCGGTCGCCACGGCGACGTCGTCGTCGTCGTCGTCCGTCGCCACGGCGACGGCGTCGTCAAAGCGACGGCGTCGTCAGCAGCGGGAGCAGGGAGGGGAGGAGGAGGAGGCGGCAGCAGCAGCAGCAGCCGGCCACGTGGAGGTGAGTGCAGAGCCGTGGGTGGGGGAGGGGTGTGGGGGGAGGGTGTGGGGGGTGTGGGGGGAGGGTGTGGGTGGGAAGGGTGTGGGGGGAGGGGTGTGGGGGGAGGTGTGGGTGGGGAGGGTGTGGGGGGGGAGGGGTGTGAGGGGAGGGGTGTGGGGGGAGGTGTGGGTGGGGAGGTGTGGGTGGGAAGGGTGTGGGGGGAGGTGTGGGTGGGAAGGGTGTGGGGGGAGGGGTGTGGGGGGAGGGGTGTGGGGGGAGGTGTGGGTGGGGAGGGTGTGGGTGGGGAGGGGTGTGGGGGGAGGGTGTGGGGGGTGTGGGGGGAGGGTGTGGGTGGGAAGGGTGTGGGGGGAGGGGTGTGGGGGGAGGTGTGGGTGGGGAGGGTGTGGGGGGGGAGGGGTGTGAGGGGAGGGGTGTGGGGGGAGGTGTGGGTGGGGAGGTGTGGGTGGGAAGGGTGTGGGGGGAGGTGTGGGTGGGAAGGGTGTGGGGGGAGGGGTGTGGGGGGAGGGGTGTGGGGGGAGGTGTGGGTGGGGAGGGTGTGGGTGGGGAGGGGTGTGGGGGGAGGGGTGGGGGGGGAGGGTGGTGCGGGGGACGGACCAGCGGATGCGAGCCCATGTCCTTGACACCAGGACCTACCGTGGAGCTGATCTGCCCTCTGACCATCGACTAGTCATCTGTAAGATGCGCCTGCCATTCTTCCACTCCGGTGGTGGGTGTACACCCAGGACCCCATTCAAACCCTTAGTGGCCTGGTCTCAGTTATCTGATGAAAGTTGCGAGCGAGAATTTCATCATCGCCTGCGGCTGGGGTTGACATCGTCCCCGACTCCTCCTGATGTCGAGGGTAAATGGGCGAGGTTTAGGACTGTGACTCATGCAGCTGCAATGGCTGCTTTGTGGTACGCGGTCCAGACCTCCACCAGAGACCCTGGCTGACGGAGGAGGTGTTCAGGCTGGCCATTAGAAGCAACAGCCCAAAACAAAATATTAAGGAGGATAGTCTCGGATGTGCTTATAAACGACGGACTGTCATCACCCGATCTGTGGCGAGCGATGCTTCTCAGGGCCACGGGGGGTTCACGTTTTGGGATTGGCTTTTGGTCCCGGACTCGTTGTGTGGCGAGTGATATGATTTGTCGATTTGAAGCTCTCGCGACTGCAAGGATTCATCGTCTTTGGTTCTTTCGGTAAAGTCGCCACCACCGCGTAGAATGAGAATGAAATAATAAATGGATAAAATAGAATGACGCGGTAAAAATTCTCACGACGTTTCAGCCGCGACGCAAGCGGCCTTCATCAGGTGAAGGGACGAGACTGTCTGGTAGGACGGCGCCTCACCTGATGAAGGTCGCTTGTGTTGTGGCCGAAACGTCGTGGGAATTTGATCGCATTATTTTATTTTATCAATTTTATTATTTTATTCTCATTCTACGTGGTGGTGACTTTACCGAAAGAACCAAGAATAATAATTTTATTGTTTTATATTTTTATTATTTTATTGTTTTATATTTTTATTATTTTATTGTTTCCCTTCTACGTGGTGACTTTACCGAAAGAACCAAGAATAATAATTTTATTGTTTTATAATAATTTTATTGTTTTATATTTTTATTATTTTATTGTTTCCCTTCTACGTGGTGGTGACTTTACCGAAAGAACCAAGAATAATAATTTTATTGTTTTATATTTTTATTATTTTATTGTTTCCCTATCTACGTGGTGGTGACTTTACCGAAAGAACCAAGAATAATAATTTTATTGTTTTATATTTTTCTTATTTTATTGTTTCCCTTCTACGTGGTGGTGACTTTACCGAAAGAACCAAGAATATTAATTTTATTATTTTATAATAATTTTATTGTTTTAGATTTTTATTATTTTATTGTTTCCCTTCTACGTGGTGGTGACTTTACCGAAAGAACCAAAGACGATATGAATTGTGTTGCGTCAAACGGACGCCTGGTTTGTTCGTGTGGTGGTAGTGGTGGTGGTGGCGGTGGGGGGGCGGTGCACGTCGCACGTATCAGTCGATTCTTCTGTCGCCCCGCGGTTGATTCCGTTCGGCGGACGTGGGTCGGCGAGCCGACCCGCTGTCGTAGTCGCGATGGACCGCCGGCAGGTGGCGCTGCGTTGGTTGCACTGCTACTTTTGATGATGCCGGCTCGCGCCACGAGCGCCTCGTCGCTCAACAGCGACCCTCGCCACTCCCGGCGGGCCGCGGAGACCTCCTCCCCCCCCCCTCCCCCCCCTTCCCGCCCGCGTCGGCAGAGGCCCACCCCGCGCAGGGACAAGCCGAGCTGGATGAGCCCCTTGCCGGATGAGCTGGGCCCGAGCCGGTGAGCTCGGCTGATGAGCCGAGCGCCGCTGATGCTGAGCCCCGGTTTAGCTGAAGAACTCGGCCGAGTTCCGGACGAACTCAGCCGAGTTCCGGACGAACTGAGGTTTCAATGCCGCAGTGTCCTCTTTTATGCCAAAATCCCTCCTCTTGGCTCCCTCCCCACAAGGCGGAGCTTCTGATGATTTGGCTGCGTGCCGTGGCCTGGAGCGTGTGTCCTTGTGGGCGCGTCATATGCGGCACAGCTCTGTTGCCCTCCTCTTCCCACAAAGCATAACAACGGGCGTTACAGATCGTCTCCCGTGCGTTGCACAACCTGGAGGGAGGGGGCGGTGTTCCCCTCCGGTGAGACCTTCACCGACGCACGAAGGAATGGTTGAGGTGTTTTTCTTTTTTTAAAGTTAACACCTTGTTCCATCGGTTTATTCCATCGTAGTCTTACAGTGATGCTTCTGTGCGGTCTGCTGTGTTAGTTTTCCATCGTGGTGTTCGATTTTATTGCAAGGGGGAAGGTGCTCTCTCTTGAGCGTACGCACATCATGTTATTCTTGGTTCTTTCGGTAAAGTCACGTTGAAGGGAAGCAATGAAATAATAAAAAATATATATGAAGCAATAACAATTCTCGCGACGTTTCGACCGTAACGCAAACGGTCGTCATCAGGTGTGAAAACCAACGGCAAGAAACATTTGAAAGGAGTGGCGGTTTGCGTTTATTTATTTTTAAACGTTAGCACCACGGAGAGCGATTTGGCAGTTTGTTTAGATGGACGAGTCCATCCGTGCTCGGAAAAGAGGAGGGGGTAGACGAAAAATGAAAGTACGTTGTCTGAAAGCCACCGTAAGCGTGAACAATCAATTAAGACCCGAAATGGTTTATCAGATCCTTCCAATGATTGCTAAGCCAGAATCCATCTTCTCGGTTGAAATTGTCTCCGTGTTTGTGTATGTGGATAGCCTCCTGAACGAATCTCTCATGGTAACCGTAAGCGTGAACAATCAATTAAGACCCGAAATGGTTTATCAGATCCTTCCAATGATTGCTAAGCCCAGAATCCATCTTCTCGGTTGAAATTGTCTCCGTGTTTGTGTATGTGGATGGCCCCATATTCTCATCACGTGCTGCAGGAAGACAACGGCGGCCGGGAGACTCTCTCTTTTTTTTTTATTTAGCTTTAACATTAATGCCGGGGTATGAATTATGTACTGTGATTTCTTTCACTTGAACTTGTTGCCTGGGGCCCCGCTGACACACGTTGCACTCAAGGCGTCTCTCCCCACGGCCACCCCTCTCTGCCTGGTGTGCGCGTTGCTTGATCAGACTTAGCTCTGCCTTGAACACAGGTAGCCCGTGATTATTCCTCCGCTCTCTCACGCTGCGGGGAGACAACAGCGTCCTCTCTTTCCCTCCGCCTGTAGCTCTTATCCTTTGGCGTGCCGAGGTCGGCTTCACACGGGCACCCACAGGTGCCTCTCCCGGCCTTTACTTCAGGGCTGCTCTGTCTTACGTGGTTTTCCCCTCTCTAACGTTTGAATTAACGCCGCGCGATTCTTTGCCCACGTCCTGGGGATTAGAGAATTCGTTTTGACTTCGCTAAACATTCCGATTGTCACGTGCTTCGGTCAGCTTGTGTAGGAACGGCTGAAAAAAAAAACTGCTGAACGTTCAGTGTTGAATTCATAAATGGGGGCAGTGATTCATTGATGTAGCTCGCAGCCTGGTCTCCAACTGCGGCGAGCGTGAGGATCGATAATTTTACCCTACTGCTGTGGTTGAATTTCGAACTTCAACGTTGCTTCGATAGCATTGCAGGGACAGTGGTCTTTAGCCGCTCAATGTCTACGCTCTCTCCTCTCTGCCTGCACGGGTGCCGTGCGCGTCATTCATATTGACCCTTGTCTCTCCCTTGAGCAAGGTGGCGATAATTTCGCCGTCCTGGCCCTCCTTCAGTTCTCATTACTTATCAACACCTGGTGCTTTGCCGGTGCTGACTTTTGCGTGTTTTCTTTATTTATTTCTCTACAAAAATATATGTATGTGTGTGTATCGGCACATTTCTTGTCAATGTTAAAGATGGAAAAAGGGGGCCACATACAACAATCCCCACTTTGTGCCACGATGTTTTCCTGGCTGAGGGATTTTTCCCTCCACCAGGACCTCACAGAAATGCTCAGCAAATCTGCAAACCTGTTCCTGGGGGTTGGAGATTGGATCACCGTTTTTTCCCCTAATGATGGTAATAGGTGTGGCGCTGCAGGTTACTTTTTTGATGGAGTTAAATAGAGATTTGTGATCGCGGGCCACTGAGGCAGACTCCTTCTCCTCAGCAACTCGCGACCACCACCCATCCTTGCAGTGCCTCACGGCTCTCCGAACCTCTGAGCGAAGGCTGCGATAAGCCTCCTCATTCTCTGACGTTGGATTCTGTAGCCGATGACAGTGGGCCTGTCGCTTTTTCTCAACCATCCTGAACACCTCCTCTGTCAGCCAGGGTCTCTGGGGAGGTCTGGACCGCGTACCCAAAGCAGCCATTGCAGCTGCATGAGTCACAGTCCTAAACCTCGCCCATTTACCCTCGACATCAGGAGGAGTGGGGGATGATGACAATCCCAGCCGCAAGCGATGATGAAATTCTCGCTTGCAACTTTCATCAGATAACTGAGACCAGGCCACTTTAGGTTGGAATGGGGTCCTGGGTGTACACCCACCACCGGAGTGGAAGAATGGCAGGCGCATCTTACAGATGACTAGTCGATGGTCAGAGGGCAGATCAGCTCCACGGTAGGTCCTGGTGTCAAGGACATGGGCTCGCATCCGCTGGTCTGTCACTATGTAGTCCAGCAGATGTTCTTGCTTGGACCCGGCATGCATCCATGATGTTGTGTGAATGCGCCGATGCCGGAACAGCGTGTTGGTAATTACAAGCCCATGGGCTGCACAAAAATCTAGCAGCCTCCTACCGTTGTTATTGAGCTGATCTGGCCCATGCCCTCCAATCACTCCAGACCAGGTGCCAGCATCATGACCAACTCGGGCATTGAAGTCACCCAACAAGATGACTCTATCCCGAGGGGCCACATTAGCCAGCACCTGTGACAGGAGGTCATAGAAGGCATCTGACTCATCGGCTTTGCCTGCATCCCTCCACGGATGTTCGTCTTCGGTGGGGGCATAAGTAACCATGACCGCCACTCCTCGCCTCTGGTTGATGGGAAGGCGAGCCCAAAGTAGCCTGGGGCTTACAGCTTCCCACACCTCACCGCCACGTTCCCACGCCCCCTTCATTCTTTTGTTCAAAAGAAGAGCCACACCCTTTGTTTGGCAGTCTGCTGCCCCGAGTAGAGGACTGTCCACCCCTCATGGCGTCAGGAGCCAGAACCTGTCCACCGGACCTCCTGAATGCCACAGAGATCCAGGCAGTACCGGTCCAGCTCCCGACAGAGGAGTGGCAGCCTCTCCTCCGCAGTGAGCGTTCGAACATTCCACGTGGCCACACGAAGTGGTTTTTCGTTGTTTCTGGAGGAGCCCCGAGGGTAGAGATTCAGTCTCCTGGCTCCGCCAATTGGGGTTTAGCCAGGAGACGTCATAGACGCCTGGCCCCCCGGGGCCTCCGGCACAAGCTTATTAGTTACATATTTCAGTTTAATTCGTGGTTTCGTGGTAATTAATTGAAGGTGGAGGGGTTACCAGCCCCTCGCACCCGTCCAGAGCCCCCGTTTAGCCCCTGTGATGGACATATATGCCATGAGGGGAGGAGCCAATCGGAATTGGATCTCCCCCCACAGCACTGTCCACGACAGAGTTGCCCGTCCGGCACCGCGAGGAGGGAGGGGGTTCATCTTCTTGGTTCTTTCGTTAAAGTCACGTAGAATGGAAAGAAAGCAATAAAAACAAAACAAAATAAAATACAATTCTCACGACGTTTCGGCCACAACACAAGTGGCCTTCTTCAGGTGAAAGGAACATAAACTGTCGGGACGACAGTGCTTCAGTGAACGCTGCTGAGATTCGCAGCGTCTTTTGAGCTTGGCAAGTAAAGCGCCTTGACAAAGGAGTTTACAAATGAAACAGGAGAATTTAGCATTTGAAATAGCTGAGGGATTAGCTTGTAACTGGTCACGGAAATGGCTATGTTAAAGTCAAAGTTTACACATCCACAGAGGCACCCCTTGACAAAGAAATTAGCATAGAATTTAGCATTGAAATAGCTAAGTTAAAGTATACACATCCACAGAGGCACCCCTTGACAAAGGAATTAGCATAGAATTTAGCATTGAAATAGCTGAGTGATTAGCTTGTGACTGGTCACAGAAATGGCTATGTTAAAGTCAAAGCATACACATCCACAGAGGCACCTAGTACAAATCAAACAGGAGAATTTAGCATTGAAATAGCTGAGTGATTAGCTTCTGACTGGTCACAGAAATGGCTATGTTAAAGTCAAAGCATACACATCCACAGAGGCACCTAGTACAAATCAAACAGGAGAATTTAGCATTGAAATAGCTGAGTGATTAGCTTCTGACTGGTCACAGAAATGGCTATGTTAAAGTCAAAGCATACACATCCACAGAGGCACCTAGTACAAATCAAACAGGATAATTTAGCATTGAAATAGCTGAGGGATTAGCTTGTGACTGGTCACAGAAATGGCTATGTTAAAGTCAAAGTTTACACATCCACAGAGGCACCTAGTACAAATCAAACAGGATAATGTAGCATTGAAATAGCTGAGGGATTAGCTTGTGACTGGTCACAGAAATGGCTGTGTTAAAGTCAAAGCATCCACATCCACAGAGGCACCTAGTACAAATCAAACAGGAGAATTTAGCATTGAAATAGCTGAGGGATTAGCTTGTGACTCGTCACAGAAATGGCTATGTTAAAGTCAAAGCATACACATCCACAGAGGCACCTAGTACAAATCAAACAGGAGAATTTAGCATTGAAATAGCTGAGGGATTAGCTTGTGACTCGTCACAGAAATGGCTATGTTAAAGTCAAAGCATACACATCCACAGAGGCACCTAGTACAAATCCAACAGGAGAATTTAGCATTGAAATAGCTGAGTGATTAGCTTGTGACTGGTCTCAGAAATGGCTATGTTAAAGTCAAAGCTTACACATCCACAGAGGCACCTAGTACAAATCAAACAGGAGAATTTAGCATTGAAATAGCTGAGTGATTAGCTTCTGACTGGTCACAGAAATGGCTATGTTAAAGTCAAAGCATACACATCCACAGAGGCACCTAGTACAAATCAAACAGGAGAATTTAGCATTGAAATAGCTGAGTGATTAGCTTCTGACTGGTCACAGAAATGGCTATGTTAAAGTCAAAGCATACACATCCACAGAGGCACCTAGTACAAATCAAACAGGATAATTTAGCATTGAAATAGCTGAGGGATTAGCTTGTGACTGGTCACAGAAATGGCTATGTTAAAGTCAAAGTTTACACATCCACAGAGGCACCTAGTACAAATCAAACAGGATAATGTAGCATTGAAATAGCTGAGGGATTAGCTTGTGACTGGTCACAGAAATGGCTGTGTTAAAGTCAAAGCATCCACATCCACAGAGGCACCTAGTACAAATCAAACAGGAGAATTTAGCATTGAAATAGCTGAGGGATTAGCTTGTGACTCGTCACAGAAATGGCTATGTTAAAGTCAAAGCATACACATCCACAGAGGCACCTAGTACAAATCAAACAGGAGAATTTAGCATTGAAATAGCTGAGGGATTAGCTTGTGACTCGTCACAGAAATGGCTATGTTAAAGTCAAAGCATACACATCCACAGAGGCACCTAGTACAAATCCAACAGGAGAATTTAGCATTGAAATAGCTGAGTGATTAGCTTGTGACTGGTCTCAGAAATGGCTATGTTAAAGTCAAAGCTTACACATCCACAGAGGCACCTAGTACAAATCAAACAGGAGAATTTAGCATTGAAATAGCTGAGTGATTAGCTTGTGACTGGTCACAGAAATGGCTATGTTAAAGTCAAAGCATACACATCCACAGAGGCACCTAGTATAAATCAAACAGGAGAATTTAGCATTGAAATAGCTGAGTGATTAGCTTGTGACTGGTCACGGAAATGGCTATGTTAAAGTCAAAGCCTACACATCCACAGAGGCACCTAGTACAAATCAAACAGGAGAATTTAGCATTGAAATAGCTGAGTGATTAGCTTGTGACTGGTCACAGAAATGGCTATGTTAAAGTCAAAGCATACACATCCACAGCGGCACCTAGTACAAATCAAACAGGAGAATTTAGCATTGAAATAGCTGAGTGATTAGCTTCTCACTGGTCACAGAAATGGCTATGTTAAAGTCAAAGCATACACATGCACAGAGGCACCTAGTACAAATCAAACAGGAGAATTTAGCATTGAAATAGCTGAGGGATTAGCATGTGACTGGTCACGGAAATAGTTATGTTAAAGTCAAAGCATACACATCCGCAGAGGCACGTAGTACAAATCAAACAGGAGAATTTAGCATTGAAATAGCTGAGTGATTAGCTTGTGACTGGTCACAAAGAAATGGTTGTGTTAAAGTCAAAGCATACACATCCACAGAGGCACCCCTTGACAAAGGAATTAGCGTAGAATTTAGCATTGAAATAGCTGAGTGATTAGCTTGTGACTGGTCACGGAAATGGCTATGTTAAAGTCAAAGCATACACATTCACAGAGGCACCTAGTACAAATCAAACAGGAGAATTTAGCAATGAAATAGCTGAGTGATTAGCTTGTGACTGGTCACGGAAATGGCTATGTTAAAGTCAAAGCCTACACATCCACAGAGGCACCTAGTACAAATCAAACAGGAGAATTTAGCATTGAAATAGCTGAGGGATTAGCTTGTGACTGGTCACGGAAATGGCTATGTTAAAGTCAAAGCATACACATCCACAGAGGCACCCCTTGACAAAGGAATTAGCATAGAATTTAGCATTGAAATAGCTGAGTGATTAGCTTGTGACTGGTCACAGAAATGGCTATGTTAAAGTTAAAGCATACACATCCACAGAGGCACCCCTTAAACAAAGGAATTAGCATAGAATTTAGCATTGATAGCTGAGTGATTAGCTTGTGACTGGTCATGGAAATGGCTATGTTAAAGTCAAAGCATACACATCCACAGAGGCACCTAGTACAAATCAAACAGGAGAATTTAGCATTGAAATAGCTGAGTGATTAGCTTGTGACTGGTCACGGAAATGGCTATGTTAAAGTCAAAGTTTACACATCCACAGAGGCACCTAGTACAAATCAAACAGGAGAATTTAGCATTGAAATAGCTGAGTGATTAGCTTGTGACTGGTCACAGAAATGGCTATGTTAAAGTCAAAGCATACACATCCACAGCGGCACCTAGTACAAATCAAACAGGAGAATTTAGCATTGAAATAGCTGAGTGATTAGCTTCTCACTGGTCACAGAAATGGCTATGTTAAAGTCAAAGCATACACATGCACAGAGGCACCTAGTACAAATCAAACAGGAGAATTTAGCATTGAAATAGCTGAGGGATTAGCATGTGACTGGTCACGGAAATAGTTATGTTAAAGTCAAAGCATACACATCCACAGAGGCACCTAGTACAAATCAAACAGGAGAATTTAGCATTGAAATAGCTGAGTGATTAGCTTGTGACTGGTCACGGAAATGGCTATGTTAAAGTCAAAGTTTACACATCCACAGAGGCACCTAGTACAAATCAAACAGGAGAATTTAGCATTAAAATAGCTGAGTGATTAGCTTGTGACTGGTCACGGAAATGGCTATGTTAAAGTCAAAGTTTTACATATCAACAGAAAAGATAGGGGGTTGTTTTGCCGGACAAAAAAATTTGTAACGCTTCACGGATTTGCGTGTCATCCTTGCGCACGTGCTATACTAATCTTCTCTGTATCGTTCCAATCTTAGTATTTGTACTGCCGGAGCAAGTTCTACACACACACACTGACACACACACACTAACACTGACACACACACACTGACACACATTGACACACACTGACACACACACACTAACACACACACACACACTGACACTGACACACATACACACTGACACACACACACTGACACACATACACACTGACACACACACACACTGACACACACACACACTGACACACACACACACACTGACACACACACACTGACACACACACACACACTGACACTGACACACACACACTAACACACACACACTGACACACACACACACTGAAACACACACTGACACACACACACTAACACACACACACACTAACACACACACACACACTGACACACACACACACTGACACACACACTAACACACACACACACACACTGACACACAATGACACACACACACTAACACACACACACTGACACACACACACTAACACACACACAATGACATACACACACTAACACACACTGACACACAATGACACACACACACTGACACACACACTGGCACACACACACACACACTGACACACAATGACACACTCTGTACCTCAGTGCAGATCTCCCGTCATGAGTCACCCTCCAGGATTCCTAAACAGCGACACACCAGGAATCTGTGTCAGTGTGTGAGTCAGTGTGTACATGTGTATGTGTACACGTGTGTGTCAGTGTGTGTGTGTGTGTACGTGTGTACACGTGTGTGAGTCAGTGTGTGAGTCAGTGTGTGAGTCAGTGTGTGTGTGTACACGTGTTTGAGTCAGTGTGTGTGTGTGTCAGTGTGTACGTGTGTGTGTGTACACGTGTGTGAGTCAGTGTGTGAGTGTCAGTGTGTGTGTGAGTCAGTGTGTGTGTGTGTGTGTGTCAGTGTGTGTGTGTCAGTGTGTGTGTCAGTGTGTGTGTCAGTGTGTGACACACACACTGACACACACACTGACAGTGCAGCGGTTAGCGCTACGCTGCGCTATGAACCTGGCGACCCGGGTTCGATTCCCGCTCACGGCCAACACCAGTGACGATTATCTGAACCGGTCCCGGGCCTCCCCTAGGTCGACTCAGCCTCAAATGAGTACCTGGTGCGGTGTGTAGTAAACATCGCCACTAGGGAGACAAAGGCGGTCGGGCGTGGTGCTGGCCACCCACCCCCTCGTGTACCGTTCCGGCCTTCATAGGTGCTCGCTAACAGCACTTGCCCCTACAGTCTGTTAAGGCTATACGGGGGATCTTTGTGTGTCTGTGTGTGTGTGTCTGTGTGTGTGTGTCAGAGTGTGTGTCAGAGTGTGTGTGTACGTGTGTGTGAGTCAGTGTGTGAGTCAGTGTGTGTGTGTGTCAGAGTGTGTGTGTACGTGTGTGTACGTGTGTGTCAGTGTGTGTGTGTCAGTGTGTGTGTGTCAGAGTGTGTGTGTCAGAGTGTGTGTCAGAGTGTGTGTGTACGTGTGTGTGTGTCAGAGTGTGTGTCAGAGTGTGTGTGTGAGTCAGTGTGTGAGTCAGTGTGTGTGTGTGTCAGAGTGTGTGTCAGAGTGTGTGTGTACACGTGTGTGAGTCAGTGTGTGGGTCAGTGTGTGTGTGTCAGTATGTGTGTGTGTACGTGTGTGTACGTGTGTGTCAGTGTGTGTGTGTCAGTGTGTGTGTGTCAGTGTGTGTGTGTCAGAGTGTGTGTCAGAGTGTGTGTGTACGTGTGTGTGAGTCAGTGTGTGTGTCAGTGTGTGTGTGTGTCAGTGTGTGTCAGTGTGTGTGTGTGTACGTGTGTGTGAGTGTGTGTGTGTATCAGTGTGTGTGTGTCAGTGTGTGTGTGTATCAGTGTGTGAGTGTGTACGTGTGAGTGAGTGTGTGTCAGTGTATGTCAGTGTGTGTGTCAGTGTCTGTGTGTGTGTGTACGTGTGTGTGTGAGTCAGTGTGTGTGTGTGTACGTGTGTGCGAGTGAGTGTGTGAGTCAGTGAGTGTGTGTGTACGTGTGTGTGAGTTAGTGTGTGTGTCAGTGTGTGTGTGTGTCAGTGTGTGTCAGTGTGTGTGTGTGTACGTGTGTGTGAGTGTGTGTGTGTATCAGTGTGTGTGTGTCAGTGTGTGTGTGTATCAGTGTGTGAGTGTGTACGTGTGAGTGAGTGTGTGTCAGTGTATGTCAGTGTGTGTGTCAGTGTCTGTGTGTGTGTGTACGTGTGTGTGTGAGTCAGTGTGTGTGTGTGTACGTGTGTGCGAGTGAGTGTGTGAGTCAGTGTGTGTGTGTGTACGTGTGTGCATCAGTGTGTGTGTCTGTCAGTGGCTGCTTTGGGTACGCGGTCCAGACCTCCCCAGAGACCCTGGCTGACAGAGGAGGTGTTCAGGATGGTTGAGAAAAAGCGACAGGCCCACTGTCATCGGCTACAGAATCCCACGTCAGAGAATGAGGAGGCTTACCGCAGCCTTCGCTCGGAGGTTCGGAGAGCCGTGAGGCGCTGCAAGGATGGGTGGTGGTCGCGGGTTACTGAGGAGATGGAGTCTGCTTCAATGGCCCGCGATCACAAATCTCTATTTAACTCCATCAAAAAAGTAACCTGCAGCGCCACACCTATTACCATCATTAGGGGAAAAAACGGTGATTCAATTTCCGACCCCCACGAACAGATTTGCAGATTTGCTGAGCATTTCTGTGAGGTACTGGGGGAGGGAAAATCCCTCAGCCAGGAAAACATCGTGGCACAAAGTGAGGATGACCCTGCTGAGGCTGCGTTGCCTCAAATATTGGAAGAAGTCACCCCCTGTGAGTGGCTGGCTGAGGTGCCATCTGTTGAGGAAGTACTGAAGGAGTCTGAGACCAGGAAAGGCAGCGGGCAGAGATGATCTCCCAAGCGAAATGCTGAGGGAGGGTGGCGTTTGTGCACAGACTGCCCTATATGACATCATAACAACGGTCTGGGCCGCTGGACGGGTTCCGCAGGATTGGAAGGATGCCCTGGTGGTCCCCCTCTTTAAGAAGGGGGACCGCACAGACTGTAACAACTACAGGGACATCTCACTCCTCAGTGTGCCTGGAAAGGTCCTGGCAAGGATTATTCAGCATCGGCTTGCCAGGCACGCTGAGGAGAGGCTTGCGGAGCCCCAATGCGGTTTCAGGAAAGGGCGGTCCTGCACAGATGCCATATTTTCTGTCCGTCTGCTACAGCAGAGGTGTAGGGAATTCCAACAAGACCTACATCTCTGCTTTATTGACCTGGTCAAGGCCTATGATACCATCAGTAGGCCTGGGCTCTGGGTCATTCTTCGTGCTTTTGGAGTACCTGACCCTCTGCTCACGATCATTAAGGACCTTCATGATGGTGAGCGGGCCCGGGTAAAACTACGTGGCCGGGAGTCAGAGCCATTCCCTGTACACCTTGGGGTGCGACAGGGATGTCCTCTGGCTCCCACATTATTTAACATCTATTTTGACCACGTAGTTCGTGAAGCCTTCAATAGCTGTACCGGGGGAATCTCCATATGGTACAGATATAATGGGAGGCTGATCGATGCCCGGGTGCGGTCAAGGGATGGCTCCCTATTGGTCAACCACGTTATGTATGCTGATGATTTGGTAATAGCCTTACCATCAGCCCCACCAAAACTAAGCACCTGCCTGGGTATTTTGTACCATCGGACACTCCACCCCCACAACTCCCAATCGGTGATGGGGCAGTTGTGGAGAGAGTGGAGAGTTTCCCATACCTGGGTAGTGTGCTTATGACTGGCGCCAGTTTAACAGCAGAGGTCTCACTCCGAATCAGTCGAGCGGCAATATCTTTTCATCGGTTGCGTAACGCTGTGTGGAAGCTACCTGGTCTGTCGCTCCGCACTAAGCTTCAGGTCTTCTCGGCCACGGTCATTCCCTCCCTTCTCTACGCTTGCGAAACGTGGACCCCCCTAATGGAACATCTTCGCCGGTTAGAAACATTTAGGCTGGCCTGCCTACGATCCATCCTGGGTTTAACCAGACTGGATTGTGTGAGGAGCTCACAAATCCTTGAAAGATCTGGGCAGGGTCCCATCGGTGAGCTCCTCCGGCGGGCAAGGCTGCGATGGCTGGGTCATGTAGCCCGCATGCCCAGCCAACGCATGCCGAAACAGCTTTTGTTCGGCCGGATTGAGGGGGCTAAGCGGGCGCGGCACGGGCTAGAGAAGAGATGGAGTGATGTGGTACAGGAGGACGTGGAGCTGAGTGGACTTGCCGATGACTGGTACCAGCGGTGTCAAGATCGACCTCTGTGGAGGAGGCTCGTGAAGGATGCTACTGGGCAGTTGGAGGCAGTCACCCTCCAACAACAACGGAGGGCGGAGGAGCGACGCTCAGAACAACGAGCGGAGCGCCGGGTGGCTAAAGCACAGCAGGTTGGCACAGTAGGGGGCACAGGTGGTGCATCAGCCAGTCATCTCAGTCAGTCGACCCGTGGCACCTGCTGGGTCTGCCCCGTGACCTCCTGCCAGCGGGCGTTCGACACTTCACGTGGCCTCAAGGTGCACATGGCCTGGCACAAGCGTCGTGGTGACGTCACCGCCACTTAGTGGCGAATGGCGGTTGTTGTTGTGTGTGTCAGTGTGTCTGTGTGTATCAGTGTGTGTGTCAGTGTGTGTGTGTGTCAGTGTGTATGTGTGTATCAGTGTGTGTGTCAGTGTGTGTGTGTTTGTGTGTACGTGTGTGTCAGTGTGTGTGTGTCAGTGTGTGTGTGTATCAGTGTGTGAGTGTGTGAGTCAGTGTGTGTGTGTACGTGTGTGTGTGTATCAGTGTGTGTCAGTCTGTGTGTGTCAGTGTGTGTGTGTGTTTGTGTGTACGTGTGTGTGTCAGTGTGTGTGTGTGTGTTTGTGTGTACGTGTGTGTGTCAGTGTGTACCAGTGTGTGTCAGTGTGACCGGCTCCAGTTTAACAGCAGAGGTCTCACTCCGAATCAGTCGAGCGGCAATATCTTTTCATCGGTTGCGTAACGCTGTGTGGAAGCTACCTGGTCTGTCGCTCCGCACGAAGCTTCAGGTCTTCTCGGCCACGGT